AATGTTTGCATTGATTGAGAAGATGGAAGGAAGGTTCCACCAATAAGGGCCTGGTGGAAATTACCCAAGAGAATACAATTCTAATCCTATATCTATCTACAACAGAAGTGCAAAGAATATCATTTCATCCAGACTTAGCAAATGTGATCAATAAGTGTGCCTTCCTCCATTTTTCCAGCATCCGAAACAGTAACTCCAGCCTGTACCCACTGCGAGGTGGGCACATACAGACATAGTGCCCATAGGGCCCCACAGAACACACTGCTCCTGCGTAGCATCAGTGGTACCACTATGCTGAAAAACTCATGGAATAGCTGTGAAGTACAGTAAGAACATAGATTTGAGTAGTAACACGCCTGATTTAAGAGCAGGATCAGGAAATGGCAAAGAGGGAAGGGTGGCACACCAAACAGGATGGGAAGTTCACTGCAACTTGTTTGGAGAAAAATTGTCGTTGTGCAATTGAGAGCTCCAATTGGAGACTGTGCAGTAAACTTTAGTTTTAAAATATTTTGGACAATTCATGACTAACAGTCATATCGAGACTTCTCATTTTGCAGTCTGCAGAAATAGTTCATCTTTCTTTCCTCTTCTTTTATTTTGATTTATAATTTGGAGGATTTGTCTGGTTTTCTAGATGCCATTTACATTAGTTCACAATTAAATAAACCACGTCACAGTTTGAGATGCAGATTTTTCCCCAACAGAACATCACTTTCCATGTAATAAACAACTTGCTGTTTTCTGTCCTGCAAACGAGATGGGCATTAAGCACTTGGAGATCAATGATATCCAATTACTTCCAATCAAGCTGAGAACTCATTTTATGACATACAGCTCCAGCAGATGTATACTCTGCTGCAATTCCCACTGCAGTTCAGTCCCACTGCAGTTCAGCCAAGGAGAACCACCTGAGGATAATCAGCATAACAGCAGCATGGCAAGGAAGCATTATGAACAAACAGATAAATCGGCATGCATTCTCCAGCACCTGGAAAATAAACTGTCATTTCTAAAAGGGTCTCCAGTGTTTTGACTCCACCTTAGGTTTGAGTTAATCTAAAAACGTAATGCCACAGCAGGAATTATGCCTTAAAATTCAAGATTGAGAGAGGGCACTTAAAATTAATTTTCAACAGTTGCAACTAGCAGCAGAGTTCAGTAAGAAATCAGCAGTATGTATCCCCAGTGAGCAAGAGAGGAGGTCAGCCTGCAGGTCTGCCTGCAGCCCCTGAGGACCCAGCCAGCTTGATCCGTACTGACCCAAGTCAGTCAGCTTTCTGGACCCCAGGCACACTGACCTGCAGCACTGGTGGTGAAGGCAGGCAGCAGCATCCTTGCCACCACCTGCTGACTGTGCCCATCACCTCTACCACGTGCATAGGGAAACTAAAGATGGCAAAAACAAAACAGGACCTCAGAGACTCACAGGTTTCAAAGAACTCAGTTTTTGGGAAGCGACAGTCCACAGCATGCAGTCCCAAGAACAGATATAAGCCAAGGCATTCAGCAGCTGTATGCTGGTGGGAGCCTACAAATACTGCCCTTTCCACAGGCTCTTCTCGAGCCCACAGAGAATGAGATGGCATTGGAACAGTAGCTGCTCTGTGTGCCACATTGAAGTAAGAGCAAACTGGTAAAGTTAACATCCAGATAATAGCACAGACTGAGAGATATTTGTTCCTTGCATCTTGACACGCTAAGATAAGCAATAGGTACAAAAGATATCTGTTAAAATTAGCACATCGCTCTTTGTGACCTTTGAAAATTTGCTCTCCTCCTCAGATACTTGGCAGGCCTGGCCTGCCTGGCGCACTACGTGCCCTTGACTCTCCCAACCCCCTCCCATAGCTTCCCACACTTCCTAACAGCAAGTGCCCTAAACCTGAACGTGCTAAGGTATTTAAGGATAAATTTACAAGGTAATAGCAGACGGACAGGCAATTTGGAGCAAGCAGAGGATTCATCTCAGAACAATGGCTTTTTTGGGCTATTTTTGCTTCTGCAGTTAAACCATAACCAGAATGCACACAAATATCAGTGCACAAATAACTCTCTATCTGGGGGTCCTGAGAAGTTTCGGCCATTGCTTGTAGCATAATGAATGTTTGTAATTCATTAGATTCTGTTTAAAAATGCAGAGCACGCCATGACATCAATGATGTTCTCTTTATCTTAACAAAGACGATCACACTTCATGTTCTCCTGACAGAACTACCATGTTTAAAAATATGTATTTCTGTTCTACAGTACGATGGTTACAGTGGGATGCTCATATTTGAATTTAAATTAACCATATTAACATCATATTTGAAGCAAGACCACGCTCTGCTAATTATCCCAGAGAGCCTCAAGATCTTTGCAGTATATTTACTGCATTGATATCTTCTCCACAAACTTAGTGATCTTGTTTATATAATTTTGCAAATGACAAGATGTGCAGGATAACTATCTAAATGAACTAAAAATTGTGACATGGATAGATCCTTGAAGATTTGCAATTTGTAGCTGTCAGTCTTCCTACAGCTGCTAGATAACAAAACTACAGTTCTTTTCTTCATGCAGACGAGCAAATTCAATAAACATTGGTAAGGGTTCTTTTGAAAAAGACAGAAATCTCTGGTTCTGCATAGTCTATTAAACCTCTTTAAAACAACACAAGCACCCAAACTCCTTTCTCACGGAAAAAAGATACGAATCATAGGAATCCTGTGCATTAAAGCGCCGTTTGAATTCTTTCAGAACTGGTCTTGCTGTTTGCTAAATATTTTGGCAAAGCAGAGAAATACACGACCAAAGAAGCGGGTGGGGGAGATGCCTTAAAAAGAGACTCGCAACTCACATCTTTTCGTAACTGCAAAATAAACAATGAGAGTAGTAGGAACAATCAATGGGCTCAGCCAAGCCTTCCTATTTCACCTTCTCCCTTAATCAAGAGCTGCCCCAAATGGACCAAGTTATTTTAACATTTAGATGACAACACAAACAGACAAAAGACCAACGTTGAGTGACACCTATAAATTCAAAGTTGTTAAAGGAATAAGGGCACTGCCTGCATGATTACGGTTATTTTTTCTCTATAAGATGAGGGCAGAGGCTGAACTGTAGCTACAAGCGCCGCTAATGACTGGGTTAGAGACCAACATCTACAGCAATAGCAAAAGAAGGAATTTAATCAATAGAAAATCAATGAGGAAAGGGCAATAAAACTGGGAAATAAAAACAAATTGCTACAGTAGCAAACAAAAAATAAACGACTATGCTGATGACGGACAACATAAACATTTTATTCCCGCACAAAGCTTATGTTCCGTTTGATAAACACGTCAAGCTTTCCTCCTCACGGAAATTTCGAGCCGCTTCCCACGAGCACACAGCGCACCACGGATCCTCGCTTTGAACCCAAACTCCGAGTCAGAGCGAGGTGCGCGGAGCGCTCCTGCAGGGCCGAAGGTGAGCAAAACAAAGCAGAGCAGAGCAAAGCAAAGCGGGGCGCCGGAACCCCGGTGAACAGCCGGCATCACTTGATGCACGCGAGCAGGTCAGGGGCAGGAGTTGTAGCAGTTCTCACAACAGACATCTTTGGAATCACCGCTATCTGGCGCAGCCGAGAAACCCTTCTTTGTGCGAGCAGCGAAAGAAACGGCCGGGATACGGACACGGACTCGAAACGCCAAAGGGCTCTTGCGGGTGCCCGCATGGATTGAGACCCTGAGCCGGCAGTGCGGCCGTAGCGCGTGCTCACGGCTTCCCAGAGCAAAGGGGATCCGCGCACGCCCCTTAAGACTCGGAGGTAGCCGAGAAGTGCATCACACCGTTAAAAAAAAAAAATACTAATAAAGCCCTCGCTCCATCGAGTAGATGCAGCAGACAGAATAACGGCGAGTAGGAACACCTGAGAGGAACGAGCAGCCCCGAGCTCCCGCCGCCCGGCTCCCCGCGCAGCAGCGGGCCGCCTCCGGCCGGGGCTCACCGCGAGCAGCCACCCCCGAGCCGCCCCATCTCCCCCTCGCCCCGGCCCCGGGCGCAGCGAACAATGGGCGGGAGGCAGACCCGCCCCGTGCGGCTCCCGGCACCCGGCTCCGGCGGGCGGGCGGCAGAAGGAGGCACTTACTGGGCTGCGGCAGGGCCGGGCGGAGCGGGGCAGAGCGCGGCTCCGGGCGCGGCTGGTGGCGCGGCAAACTCCGCGGT